GATGAGATGATAAGAAAAAAACAAATGAGAGGGTTGCTGCTGTCCTCCGTTATTCTAGGAACGGGCTTCACAGCTTTGTCTAAAGTCCGGCAGGCACCAACTGCCACTGAGACAAATACATGTGACATAGGGCTCAGCGCAGCTGATTGATGGCCAGCTGTTTATTTGCCTGATAGACTATGAAGCCATAGCCCACCTGCCTGCTGTTGTCAAGGTTCCGTTCTGATCCATCTGAAAAAACATATAAATCTGTTGAGGGTTGACTTCTCCACCATTTCTTGAATGCCTGAACAGCACTCTTTTTGTCTACACCCTCTGTGGGGTCTGTCCCGCATCCCTCTGAGTAGTGTGGGATGGCAAGTGTGGGTCTATTGACTGCAGGTAGCAGCGCCCCCAACCGCTGGATCTTGATCTTTGAGCGCTGCCGGGTTCCAGCCCCTCTTCCTCGTGTGATCATTGGAGGTGCTATCCGTGAAGCCAGTGGGTGCTTCTCATCCACCACCTGAAGCCTTGTCGCGAATCGAATTTTGGCCTCCTCCAGAGCTACCATTGCTGATGGGAGCCCAGCATCCTGGTATAGGGTAGCGATGGGCGTTGTACGGAAAACTGGGAGGACCCCTCTGGCTGCCATAGTAAGCACCTTCTCAACTGTCCCCACATGCCATCCCAGGCGGGAGCTAACCTCCCCACTCCTGCCCGTGTGCCTTGCTGGCTGCGTGCGGCCGCCGTACCAGGCCTCTGTGCCATAGAGCAGTGAGGGAACCACGCAGGTGGTGACCGCCTTCCGCAGAGCGTCTGCTGGGGGCCCGTCTCTGGTCTTTCCCAGACTCCGGATGTGCTGGGCCACGGCCCTTGCCTTCTTTGCCCGGGTGGAGACATGTGGTCTCCAGGTGAGCCTTCTGTCGAAGTGTACACCCAGCCAGCGAAGTGCTGGCTCCTGTCCAGCTGGGGCAGTAACAGGGTGAACAGTGAGGTCCTCAGACACAACTACTGCTGGTGCCTCATTGTGTCGCTTTCTTGTAAGATGGATCATCTCAAGTTTCTCTGGTGCGAAGGCCACCTTGTTTATCTTCCCCCACCTCAGAATACTCTGTATATCCTGTCTGAGAAGGGTGGCATTGTTGTCAAGTGAGTGGGTCGCCCGCCAGATGTTCAGATCATCCGCATAGCCAAAGCGCAACTCCGAGTTTTGCCACAGCAGCTCTGCCAGGTACAGAAGGAACAGTATTGGTGACAAAGGAGACCCCTGTGGCGTGCCACATTGCATCTGATGTGCTGCTGTGGTGGTCCCCTCCAGCCGGACCTGAGCTCTGCGTTCAGTGAGGAAACTGTCAATGAGCTGCAGCAGCTCGCGTGGCCACCCCTGCTGCGCCATCCGCTGAAGCAGCCGCCTGCGCAGCACAGCATCAAAGGCACCCTGCACATCCATTGTGACCATGGACACTTCTTTGTTTTGTGCGAAGGCTGCCTCCACCTCATGAGTGAAAGCAGCTACCAGGTCCATTGCAGATCGTCTGGGCAGCGCCCCCCCATGCTGTGGGCTGACTATGCCGTGAATGAGTGCCGTGTACGCCAGTCGCCTTGCAATGATGCGTTCCAGCCCTTTGGAGATTACTGAAAGCAGGGCAATGGGCCTCCAGGAGCGGACTGAGCTTCTATCTCTCTTACCCACCTTGGGTATCATTGCCACCTCTGCCAGTTTCCAGGCTCGTGGGAAGTGGCAGAGCCGGAGGCAGCAGTTGTATAGCTGCTGTATAAAGAGGGACACATGCTGCCAGCATGCTTTGAGCATCCGCACTGTGATTCCATCCGTGCCTGGGGAGGTGCTCTGTACCCCAATGGTGTTGCGCTCCATCTCCTCCATCTCAATCCGGGGGTTCCAGGGCAGGTTCCCCATGCCGCTCCAGTGCTCATCATCCTAATGGGTCATACTCCAGATCATCAGCTGAGTTGTATCGCTTGAATCCACCACAAAT